TTGAAGATTACAAAGACTTAATTTTTTATTACAAATTTAAAAAAAATTTTTTTTTTTTAGAAATTAGAACATATTTTACTTGAGAAAAACATACATCCTTAACAACCACTCGGGACACTAAAAATTACTTTCACTTTAAAAACAATAATTTACATAAAATCTATAAAAAGAACCGTACTTGTCCATTTAAAAATATAGGTAATATAGTGAACATTTCACATTTTAATTATTTTAAAACAAAATACAAGAACAATTATTTGAATAAAACAACAAATCAGAGATAAGTTTCTTTGCAGTTTTAATCACTTTTAGCAATAAAAAATACAATTTAAGGGAAAAGACGTAATTTAAGACGTATTTCAAAAGAAGCCAAGATTTCAAATTAGTCAAAAACATACTTGATCAAAAACTTCATTGTCTTCAAAATATATGAAGATGGTAATTCTTGAAACCAATGAAGTTTTTAATCAAATGCATTTTACTGCGAAATATTATACTTAGAATTATTTATTAAACTAGTGGGCTGCTCCCCCTGCTCGCTAACGCTCGCCAACCCCCGAAAATTGCTACACAATCTTGTATGGTTTGCTTCGCTCGCTACTAACTTAGATACATTGCAAATGCACAAAATTCTAAGAATTCAAAACAATCATTCAAATCCATATAAAAACTTTTTTTTAAAAAAAATTACATCTTTTTAGTAAATACTAAGTCATTAAAATAAATTTGAATTCAAATAAATGATAAGTAATTCGTTAAACCTATTAGAAATGTGCCATAGTATAATTNTAATTCTTTAAGAACTATATAAATTCGTGAAAAAAAAGCGCTTTCGACAAAATACTAAAATAGAGATCTATCGACATCGATCTACTCACTCCTGCCTAGCTTAATAGTATGAGATTTCCGCAGCTGATGCTCTCTGGTTATTTCAGTTTCCGTTTTTAAAAGCGCTATATGTTGAGTCACCTCAGTAGATTTGGCACGTGACATTTTTAGCGGCAATCATCGGTCGATTCGCCGTGTAAGAGAAATAGTAACGTAAACAAAGCAAAGGAAACGTTGCCACCGGCGGAAAAGAAATACAGCCAAAATTTGGGAGCCACGTAAGAGAATTATATATATTAGATACTATTATCAATTATCTATTGAATGTTAAAATTTTTTGCTTTTTCTCTTGCTCAACAAAAGGGAACGTCAAGTTGAATGCATAATATCAGAAAGGTGAGAGCAAGACACAGTGTTCTCAAAACAGCATTTTCCTAACACAATTTTAAGTATGCGCATAAAATAAATTTACGCAAATAAATATAAACTTTAAAAGACAAAGAAAAAAAAAATTAAAACCCAGAGGAAAAAAAGCCGAATGATCTCTAGAAAAACAAATAATATGAAAAAAAAAAAATTTTTTTTAAGTCAATTCCTTCTCAGGTCAAGAAAGAAGAATTTATTTTAGTTAATTTTTCTTAAGTAATTACGATTTTTTCTCATATAAAACTAAAATTAATTAATTAAATTTAATTAATGAATTAATGTTTGAAAAAACTGTATTAACATCAGGCGTTACTCAAAAGTTTACACCACAAGTTTAAAAAAATGCATTTGAACTTGCGTGGATAAATAAAAAGTATTTAGTGAACGATTTAAAATTTGATCAAGATCAAGAATTTGATCAAGAACGAAACTAATAGTAGGAACTGAATAAAATGCTGAAAAGAATCTGAATTTACTAAATTAAAATATGCGAGAATCACTCGGATATTTTTCACAGACACCTTTAAATATATTTTTAGAATCCTTGCAGGCAAAAAAAAATGTACACATTAATATTAAAAATGTAAATTAATAATTAAAGGCAAGGAAAATACCAAAATACCATGAGATCACTATTACAATGCATCTTAATTAATAAACCATAAGTAATAGAATCAATGAAGTAAACATGCACTTTTACTTTTGTGTTTTACACAGTTACTCAAAAAAATATGCTCAACATTTGTAATTTTTGATAATCCTGAGACATCAGATTTATAAAATAACAGCGATTTTTACTTAATATACAGCTTAAAAGAAATCAAACTCATAAATGCAACAAAAAAAGTTTTAAAAAAATATAATTAACAAATTAGTTTCTTCTATACTTTTAAATTATTGCTTTTCAGCATTTTTTTTTCTTTTGCCTATTTCTGGAAATTTCTTTTCTTTTTCTTTGCAGTTAATTCCTTTTTCTTTTATTCGTGAAGCAAAATCCATTCGACTGAAACAATAAGTTAATAATATGCCATAGAACTATGCAATAATCAAATTTATCTTTTTAAAATTTTTCATTGTAATTAAAATTTTTATCCACGTGGTAAAACCGATTGCATTTTCACACAGACAATCGATTTCTTATGAGGCCTTTACCTGCGCCATCTTGAATTCTAAGTTTAATTTTTAATTTGTGTTTTCTCGATAATTTTTTTTTCCTGAACTTTTGATGATGTTGTATTAATACATAGCACAATGCCTTTCAAAAAAGGTAGAAAATAAAGGGATTGGTTTATTAGATAAGGAGGAATAGCGGTTGATAATGTTTAGAACTTCTATGAATTTTTCCTCGAAACAAAGCAAATAAAATTATACAATTTATGGTTTTGAGTAAGTAATTTAAAAATACCCGTTTCTCAATTTTTGACTTCTAAAAATCTAATCTTATTGCAACTTAAATTGTTAGAAACCAATTCGGATTACTATTAAACGCAAACGTTACTATTAAACGCTATTACGTTAATAGCAAAAAAATAAAGATGTTTATCAAAAACTAAAAGCTGTTAACTAACTATTTAAATATCTTTCAAAAATTGTTAACTGCAGATTTGTATTGGCATAATTTTGACAGAAAAAATTATTAGAAAATCAAAAAGATCGTATGCTTTATATCTCGAATTCTGATTCGGTATTTACACGTGTCAATCATCAGTTTGGGAAAAATTAATGAAGAGGATTATAAAAATATATATAGAACTTTCCCTCCCCTTCTCCACCCCTTTAACAATTGAGTTTGGTTGGGAGAGGAAAGGCCTTTTAACACTTTTTATAAAGCTCTGTCAGCAAGGGAAATAAAAAAGCCGTACTTAAAGTGCTTTACACTTGAAGCAATGCGATGATTTTAAACTATATATATAATCATGCCGTGAAGAATTATCTGGGCTATAGAATAGACAAATAACTTTAATATTTTAAAAGTTATTAAACGTTTTCAAAAATTGCCAAATTGGTGACATTTTTCCACCTTGATGGAAATTATCAAAACCACTGCCTTATTATCAGTTTTTTTAAATTTTTATGAGCCCAGGCATTGGAGTAAGTTTTTATGTAATTAAAAATTAAACCCCAAACGCTTTTCTTTTTCACAAAACTGTTGCTTTTCTCCATATTGAGGTTTTGCGCCACTCTCAAAATAAGCGTAAACAGCGCTGGCTTTAGATAGGCGAAACTTGGCCTCACAGTCATGAGTAACAATTGCTAACTCACAGCATTTATAAAAAATAGCATATTGATGGTGTTTTCAGTAGAAATGTAAACAATGACAATCTCGAGCAGTATGCCTGCTCTAGTTCCGGTTAGAAAGTTTGCAGCTGCTTACTACATGTTATTCTGCGAGGCGATATTTCCAAACGGATAATTTCGCTTTCAATAAAAGAAATAAATTAGATAATTTCTGAGCTCAAATCTACCGTATTTCATAAGATATTAATGTTATTATGTAATTCTGGTGAGTTTGAAGTGAAAATTTGTTTTAGTTATTTAAAGATATGTTGTTACAAAAGTTGACATGGTTGCTAGATTTTGAATAACTCGCTGTTTTGGCAGTCTTGATTTGGCCTCTTCATATAAGTTTATTACTGTTTGTTCTTGTTGCAAGCTGTGCACGTTAGTGTTAACATATTGTTCGAGCAGCGAGATTCAGTTCATTTTACAAATTATCCTTTAGGTTTAAATTTCGAAGTTGGTATATTGTTGACAAGGGAAGAAGTGTCTTATAACGAGTCTTTTTTTTTCAAATGACGATTCTTACGTCTTAAAATGACAGGTCTTCAAACGACGATTCTAATAAGGATTCTTTGTTTTTAACTCAAAGCACAGGCAGTAAAGAGCTTGCAGTAAACCTAGTAAAGGCACCCCATCCATCATTTATGCTTTTAACCCATCATTTCTGCCTAACTTCTAGTTCAGTTCGTTTTAGGTTTGCGCTGAANGCCTTATTTCGTAAGATATTAATGTTATTAAGCAATTCTGGTGAGTTTGAAGTGAAAATTTGTTTGAGTTATTTAGAGATATATTGTTAGAAAAGGTGACATGGTTGCTAGATTTTGAATAACTCGCTGTTTTGGCAGTCTTGATTTGACCTCTTCATATAAGTTTATTACTGTTTGTTCCTGTTGCAAGCTGTGCACAATCTTACGTTAGTGTTAACACTTTTAGCATTGTTAACACTTTTAGCATTGTAAACACAAGTATTGTTAACATTGTAAAATTAAGTAATAAGTAATCAAATACATTGTTTGGAAGAATCTCAAGACACAATGATGCCAAATGGCTTTAAAATACAACGGAAACAGTGACCCGGAAATTTAGGCGGTACCGAGCTTGCAGCGCTCCCTAGTGTAGAAAACACCATCCATTATTCGCAAAAAAGCATTATTTTATAGTAAGACGGAGCCTTCGAAAATACATACGTAAAAATAAAAAAATATTACGTGATCAGATTATACCAAATGGAGTCCTATATATTAAACGTTAGGTCTGAGGAGGATAAATTTTATGTTCCAAAACTTTGACCAACCCAACACCGAAAACCCTGTAAAAACCTATGGTCAAGGGAGAAACTTGATAAAAGTGTCGGTTTCTCATCAATTTAACTCACTTATTGAAAATACAAACTTATTGATAATACTTTAAAATTAGTAAATATGTTTACTTAGACACTAACTCGACTTTTCGTAAAACTATTTTAGATTCTAATGTAATGTCAGCAATCCAGCAAATGCAAATTCAACTGAATGCAATAGAAACAGAAAGCCAGCGTCAGAGTTCACGCATTCAAGAAGTCTTGAGAATCTCCACACGGTTGGAAGCCCAGAGGCAAGAACTGATCGCAACTCTAGACAGATCTGAAGCGCGATTGTCACAAAGACTAGAAGATATTAAAGGAGATGCAAGAAAGGTAAGAGAAAAAACCCATTGAACTCCAGAAATAAAATTTCCTAACTTACAAATGAAAATGTCAATAAAATTAGACACGGCAATATTTCACAAACAAGTAATAATAGCGCAACCACAATGAACTACAGTAGCTACTATGCATTTTCGAGAACTAACACATCAGATCGAAAAAAATGAAAATAGACGCATGGGATATTTTTTTAAAAACCGTCCAATGATACCAAACCTCTATCTTTCATTCCAGTCCCAGGGTTGAGGTATGGGGAAACTTTGTAATTTCAAATATGAGTTCTCATTTTTTATTGCAAATTTGGATTCTCCAGAAAAAAGCGACGTTATTGAATCCATAGGTTTATGCTTCACAGATGACGCTATAGTCGAGGAAATTAAATTAGGGCACGATACAAACTGTTTAATAATGGTGGTATCTTGAGACCCAACAAATTATAAAAAAAATAATAGAAATAAAAATTTTATCGGTATTTTTTCGAAAACGTTTCACAAAATTTTGAAACGTGTCTATTTTTATGTTCTTAATTTACATTTTTTCTGTACTTTATTCCATCCACTCTGTGATCATTTCCTTGAAAATGGCTGTTAAAACTCGATTAATATCAGCTCTGACCTATTTTAAATATGCTTTGAAATCCCTAGCTGTTCACTAGCAAGTTTCTCAGTAAATTTGCATTCTAGATGAAAACATATTTTGGCTGCGTTTGTAAAATGGAACACAATAGAGTCCGACAAACTGGCCACTAATATGGCTCAATTGCAAGGAAACGAGAGAAGCTAGGGCTCGCCAAAATTGCACTTTTAATATGCCTTTAATAACAGCTATGCTTTTATTAACAGCAACAATAGGACAAAGTTTCAGTACTCATGGATCAATACATTCGGCGAAATGAAATCGATTGTCAATCGAAAGAAGTACGAAGTTCTTAGTAGAAGTGGGAAGTTAGCATTAGTAGTACTACCACTATATTAAACTATTAAAGCCAGGAAACAACAATGGCATGGCCGAGTTCACACGTTCATCTGATTCTGATACAAAACTGGAATATATCTCTAACTGATGAAAATCATTTTTCATCTTTTGAATATGGAGATAATAAAGAATAGTAAAATAAAAAATCATTTTTTTCCTGTTAATTTAGATTTTGGGTATATTTTCTCTAATATAACTTATTTTCAATGGGTTTTTTTTCTCATACACATATATATGGGGAAAAATTTCAATTATTCTTCAAATTTTGACTTTAGGGTGAATATATTATTTTGGCAATCCATGACATAGTTTATATAAAATAAACACGAATGAATAAAATACTAATATTTATATTCATAAAAATATGCAAGAAGTAATTCTGGGAATTATTTTTCCGTCAGTTACTTCGCTTTAACATCTGCTATTACACCCATACATGGCAGTACTTTTACTTTCGTTACTTGTACCGCCGGTACAAGTAAAAAGTACGTACTTTTACTTGTACTTCGTTACTTTTTAAATTTAGTACTTTTACTTGTACTTTCGTTACTTTTTTAGGGAAAAAGTA